AGTAATTGTCCTAAACAAAAATCCTGGGTAGGGGCAGTGTGTGTGTGTGTACGTGCATGGTGGTGGTTGAAATCAAGATCTCACTTTTCTCCTTTGCTTCCACCATTAGCATATTCCAAGTACGGTATGTATGGTACATTGCCAGGGTACTGGAGCTGGACCCAGGTGTTGTGGTTTAAGCCCATCTCAACCATAAATGCAGGAATTGCTCAAGATTTTATAAAGCCTACTACTTTTAATCAGAAATGCCAAAGCATATGTAAAGGAAGGGTAGGGAATCTTATTCTTATTTTACTGAAAGGGTAAGAGAGGCAGAGAGAAATGTAGAGGTGTTCCCTAGGTCACATAACAAGTCTGAGGCAGATTTGGGAGTAGGGCCCAGCTTGACCTATGCACTGGACCCACTGTTTTGCAAAGGAATCACAAGCAGAATCTACCAGAATCGCAACTGAAAACCACAACAGCGACATCTGCTTGCAGCAACGCCAAATAAGAGCAACAGCTGCTTCCTAGCAACATTTTGCTGGGAACGATTTTCCCTATCTTGTATTCATATAACACTCCCCATAACAACAACATTTGCTTACAGGGAACAAAGCCGCAGAGTGCCAACATGCTGCTAAGAACAGATATTGACTGTACAGAAAATTCAGTTGTGTCCCAAATACCTGTACAGCCCAAGGCCCAATCCTGGAATCATTACAGCTGTGCATAGTGCTAACAGAAGCATTTTGCTTAGTCATTTTCTGACCAAGGTACTTGTTTGGGCAAGTTTCTCCTTTTGAATGATCTTCAGTTCCTGCATAATTCATTTTACTATGAACAATGTGAACACTGAGGAAGATACTGGCGTTTGGGGGTTGCTGCAAAAGGCTGGAAATGAATTACAAAGGAAACAGTTTGAAAACCCCCCTGAACCACTTGCCCAGCTGTGCAACCTTGGGACAAGTCATGGGACTGCTTTGTGCCCAAGTGTGGCCAGCTGCAGCCCCATGGGCTCTGTGCACTGTGCTCCAAACCAACCCTGCATGCTTCATGCAGTACGTGGGGCGGCGGCTAGCACATGTTGCATGTGGCATGCAGGCCTGTGTGGTGTACACTGAATGTGGTGTACGGGTCCACTCCAAGACCCACAGGCAGCACCACACAGTGGCTTAACAAGTAGAGTCGCTGCCTGGGACAAACCTTGCAGGGGAGTGAGGGGCACGGGTTCCAGTTGGAGTGAGGAAGGAGCAGGATCTCATAGTGGGGGTGGTTGAGGGAATAGGTTTCCAGAGCAGGCAAGGGGCATGGGATCTTAGAGTGAGGAGAGGGTGCAGGTTCAGAGAGGGTGCGGGGCAGCAGTCTTACCCATGGTGGAAATGCCACAGTCCCGGCTGAGCTGCTGCCACTGCTGCTGTCACACATGCTTTGCTCACCCCAGCTGCAGTCCTTAAAGCATTAAGGGATTGCCAGGGTGCAAACTCTGTCACCGTTTCTGACTCTTCCCCCGCCCCTCCCATCATGCTACTGGCACCCTGGGCTTCATGGGCTAGATCTGGCCTGCAGGCCATGTCTTTGACACCCCTGGATTATATCAACAGGGTTCAGCTGGCTTTACCCTAGTATTACTGAGTGCAGGATTTGGTCCAATGGCCCCAGTCTGTTCCCTTGTGGACTAAGAAGCTACTCTCATTCAATCTTCTTAAAACAGACCACTTCTTTGCAGCCTGCTGACACTAATCCATGACTGGGCTCTGAATAACATCTTTGATATTTTATATTAACCCTTTCAGAAATTTATTTTTTTGGCGAAGCTGGAACGTCTTATCTGTATTGTCCCTTTTTGCCATCCTTAAACAGTCCACTTTGCTTCATCATCCATTTTGTTCTCAGTACTACTCGGGACTGATGAGACGGTGGCCTGTTTCATATATTTTAGTGCTTAAGAACTACATCACTAATAAAAATGTTCTGTTCTATTGTCTTCAGCATACGGTATGTACTGGCTCACAACCAGTACTCAAGCTACTGCAGGGTTTCATGTCATCGTTGGTCAATGAACAAAGGAAATCCTATGCCCAATTTTCTGTGACAGAACTAACATTTGCCACATGTTGCTACTTAGGAGATGACTTAATCATTTCAGGGTTTTGGGGGGTTTATCTACAGTTAGGCTTTCCCCTGCTATTCGTGTTGTTTTATATGTAGTAATAATGATGATCTCAAGAGAAGGAATTAGATGATAAGAAATGGAAAAAATGTCAGTTGTTTAAGCATGCACAGAAGCAAGTCCTGATTAGGATATAAAAGCATGAAATATATGGAGTCTGCTTCTGTACTGTGTTGTGAAAACCCTTACTTTTATTGACCCATTTTGAAAATGGGACTTAGGTTCCTAAGTCACTTCAGCTCTTTGGAAAATGTTAGCCCTAACTACCAAATAACACGATTAAAGCTAAGAGAACAATTTGTAATGCAATTTAATGGGATTTGACATCTAGCTCCTTTAGGCTTTTTTGAAAATCCCAGGCAGCATCTAAAATTTAGCCCTTTTTTTTGCAAACTGGAAACAGTTACTATCCACTACTAAGAGCATCACATATTTGTTTACTGGTCAAAAGTGTGGGCCAATGCACTTCTGTAATCTGATTCATTTGTGGGTCTGTATGCTGGATTTTATGTTAGAGATTCAATATCTGAGCTGTTATTTAAGGCATTTAAGTAACTGTACTAATGGACACATCATTGAAATGCCTGCAATGAACCAACAAAAAGCTCAATATCAAACTGTTAATGAGCCATGGGGCAAAGAAGAAGTTGTGTGGTATTAGTTACAATCCAGGATTGGATGACCTAAACTTTATAGGTGTTTTCTTTTTTGTGTCCATGCAGAATTCACTCTTTCCTTTTGCCCACAAAACTTATTTCCTTACTGTGATAAGAAACTCATTTATAGACTTAAAACTAATTTGAATACAAAATTGTCCAGATGAGCAGCCATGCAAAACAAATTAAACAGGATGTAAACGTGGGTGAAGGTGAATCTTGGTGCCTAGCCAACTTAGTCAGTGCTTTCCTTAAATAGGGAAGCAAAATAAATGGCAGCTTTTTCAAGCACTGCACTTTGTTAATACTTATACATGCCAGACTAAACTGACATTCTTGCTGCTTGTTGTATGTAAAAGCCATTGATTTAGCTCAGCATTATAATTATAGTTCTATGGATATGAATGCATTTGGACATCAGGAGGCGCTACTTCACGGTCAGGGCGGCTAGGGTCTGGAACCAGCTTCCAAGTGAGGTGGTGCAGACTCCCACCCTGGGGGTTTTTAAGAGGAGGTTGGATGACCACCTCACTGGGGTCATTTGACCCCAGTGCTCTTCCTGCCATGGCAGGGGG